CTATGTGACATTTCTACTTAACTGTGATAATTGCTATCTCAAATCTAACATGCTTAATCCAGTTTATTCATACGTTTCTTACCTTTCTCAATGGCAAGTCTATTCTGTAGGTCAGAAGTCATCCCTTATATACCCCATGCTCTGTTGGCTATATCGTCAAAATACATGTAAAATATGCCCTCTTACTGTTTCCACTGTGATTCAAACCATATCATTTTCCACCTGGATTATTGTAGTTGCAAATAAATGGTATTTCTGCTTTTGCCCAGTGCTATCTCAGTAAGGCCACCTGGGTTGTCTTTCTATATCTTTCCTAAAAATTTTCCTATGATTTCAGAGTAAAGTTTTAGAGTAAAAATCTGAAGTCCTAGCCTGGTTATATCCCCCCACCCTGTAATATCTTTGTCTACTTATCTTCTGTTGTCCTGCTAGGCTACTCCTCTCCTACAGAAGACTCCTTGTTGCTTTTCTGAGATGGAGTTTGGTTCCAAGGTTGACCTTACTCCTTCGTTCCCAAGCACTCTTACTTAGTTCATTTAACTGCATGATTCTCACCAGTTCAAATCCATACTCAAATATACCTTTTTCAGTAAAGCTTCTCTTAACCATCCTGTTCAAAATTAAGTCCCTCCAATTCAGCATTTTCTGTTCTTTCCTGTATTTTCTTTGTTGTAGGAAATAAGCCATCAAATATATTGTATTTTGCCTGTTTGTATGGTTAATTAAATATCTGTAGTGTAGAAGATGAAAAGCACAAGACAGTTGATTTTAATGCAGGTTCCTATAATGGGGAGAAATTCATTAATAAGGAATATCTCAAGAAGGAGAAAATGGAAGTTTTTTTTAGAGGGAATAAGATAATCAGCAGGAGTGGAAGTGAGGTAGTAAGGTAGTGAGGATGTTGTATTTTCCTGGTATATAGGCCTCAAACTTCAACATGGTCAACTGCCAGTAGAATTTGAAACCCTGGAGGACAAGACCTTTCTTGGTATATTGTTACATTTTCATTACCTAACATGTGTTAGGAACTCAGTGGTAAACAAATTAATTAAGAATGAATTTAAAATAGTATTAACCTTAGGCCTTCTTCCTGCTAGAGAATATGTGGTTTTTATTAGTATAGAATCACTCTTCCTACTATAGATAGCTTCATAATTTATGTCATAATCTGTGGGCTAAGCTTATATGTTTAACATGTCCAATTTGTGCTATATTCTATATTTAAACCATATGTTTGCAATACTTGTCACATTCTCTACCATGAAGTCTTACAAATAAAGTCTTAGCATGTGAAAAAACGTTCCATGTGATTTTTCATGAAGTCACTTTAAATCATTGTCTCACATTCTGGAGGCTTATAGGAGTTTTAGTTTTTAGGTGATTGATGTGATAAAATTTATGTCGTAGGATAAAATTTAAGTATAGGCAACTTGTGAAGGAAGGGTTGAAGGGAATTGAAACTGCAGGGTGAACTTTGTTAGAGGGGTATCATCATAATTCAAGTGCAAGTGGGAATTGAGGAAGTTGTGAGGTATGTGAAGGAGTGGAGTTAGATTTGTCTAGATTTTGTGATGAAGTTTTTGGTATCCTAATTTAGGATTTTTGATCTCATTTTTGGCTTTTGCTTGTAGCAAAGTTTTGGTTTTTTTTTTTTTAATGAATAGTATTCTGAGATACCAGAAACAGGAAGATCTTTCAGTTTTCAAATGCCTGAGAAAACTACAGTTCAAAAGCAATGGGAACTATGTAACTAGAGAAAAAAACTATCTTGAAGAATAAAAGGAAACCTAAGTCATAGAACAAGTCTTTGAGTTTATCATCTCCTGTTATAACTGGTTTGTTACACCTTCTAACTTTCCCATAAATTTTGCTTATTTCTAAATGAATACTACTAAAACCATTAAAATGGGAAGGGTTTATGCATTTGCTATGCTCACAATAATGGGAAAAGAGACTTTTAGGTCTTCCAGAGCTTTTAGTTGTTTTGAGGGACAGTTTAGACTTGTGACATTAAGGGTATCATCAGCTGGACATTTCTTCACCTTTCATTATTGAATGCTTAATATGTGTCAAGCACTGTGTTGTGTATTGGGAGTATGTAAGAGGCCAATAAACAATTATGTGTTGGGAATATGTAAGAGACTGATAAACAGAGTACAGCATTCTATTTTAAGTAGTAAAATGGGAAACACTAATATTTGGGGGTGGGGTCATTAGCAGAGATAGAATGGGGACAGGGGTTTGGGGTTGAGCTAAGGGGGTTTGGGAACTGATCAAATTGTGCTTAAGTCTATAATTAAGTGAAGCCAAGTCTTTTAGGGGAATTGAAAAGATTGAGGTAGCGACAATGAATGGAAAGAAAATGAGATGCTAATGATAAAATAGTAGGCATTCAAGGCCTTGGGCATTGTCCTGAAGACAGTATGAAAATCTTAACATTTTAAAGGAATGTTAATGATATTAACATTATTATTTATATATTATTATAAAATATTATTTTAAGGAATGTTAATGACATCATTTTGGAGGCCACAGCTTGTAGTGGGGAAGTCCAAATACAGTGGTAGCTTTCAGAGTTAATGTGTTTAGGGTGGGCCTCAGAAATTTATTTTATAAAAATTTTCTTTTGATTATAGTGCTTTTTCACTTTTTAAAAATTGAAGTAACATTTATAGGTTTCAGGTGCACAGAACACACACACATATATACCCAAAACACACACACACACCCTCCACCTATCTAGCTATATCACCACTATCCACATCTGTATATATTGCATGTGTGCTCATCATCAGAAGTCTGCTTATCATCCATCACCATACTGTTGACCCCCTTACCCAGTTTACCCACTCTATTTCCCTTTCTTTTCTGGTAAACACTCTTTTGTTTTTTCACCCTGAGAGTTTGGAGCTGCAGTGAGAATGTAAGCTACTGAGAGAGGAACTTGGAATGGGGTGTGCAAAGAGAAGGAAAAACTCAGTCACATAGTGAGTAAAGAAAATAGTTTTTAGGCTTCAGCTAACTTTTTAAAATATCAAATCCCTGCCTGCTTCTTTTTTCATATAGAATACTTTTTCTAATTCTTCAGCCACTTAAACCAGAAACCTGGGAGTTATACTACAGTCACTTCTCTCTATATTTTGATTATTCAGTCATTAAATATTTCTTGTCCTCTCATCTCTCCTAAGTCTCCTCTTTTCTATCCTCTCCTTCTCAATACTGGATAAATTTAGGAACTTGTCCTTTTCATGGAACATTGCACTGATTCTTTTGAGTTCACCAGGTTTAGGGAATCTTTAGTTGCTTCCTCACCTTAAAAGATTTATATCTGATTTTTTTTAACACTCCATTCATGCTAGATTTATTGCTTTTCTTAGAAATTTTCATATTTAATTTTTCTGTCTTAGTTCTTGTTCAACAATAATGCTTTCCTATTAGGGAAATACTTCTAATATTGTATCTTCTTTTTTTGGTAGCAAAGAAATTTTTTTCTTGCTTTCTCTCAATTTTTAGGTTTTAGCAAATAACTCCGTTTAAAAAATGCTGTCTGGCTCATTTAAAAAGCACCTTACCTCATTTTTTAAAGCCTCCTTTGACCAGTCTCTTTTTCTGAAAAGTTAGTTGCTCAGTCTGTTAGTCTCATATATGTTAACTCAAAAATTTTAACTTGTTATGAGACAATTTAGATATAAATAGTAACATAGTCATAGTAAGAAAGTTGTTTTTTTTTTTTGACCTTGTGAAAACTGGTTCAATGAAAAATTGGGGTTTATACAACTAATAAGGAATGTTGAAATAAAATTGTAAGATATAAAATTGGCTTATCTCCTATATTTTGGTTTCAAAGTATAACCTTAGGGGATAATCTCTTGGACAAAAAAAAAATTCACTGCAATAGTTTTTTTTTAAAAGTTTAGATTTATAAAGATACAAACTGCATGGGCCCAAAATCATTTATAAATAAAAAGTCAGATGACTTGAGGTGAACTTACTAGAAAATGCTCTAGCCTGAATTAAAAGCAAAACAGTCATCTTATTTTAGATTTTAAGTGCTAATTTTTATGCAGTTAGCCACCAGCCATCTCTTTTATATTCTGTTTTTAAAATATTAATCTAGTTTTCAGAACCATTATTGGAAGATTTGGATCTTTATTACTCCCATTTTTATTTAAACACTGGTTCCTTATTAAAGCTGTCTGTTGGATAGAGTTCTAGTAGAGCAGCCTCTGTAAACTAGATTTAATTATTTGTTCTCAATATATGTGCAATAATAGAAGCATTCATAAGATTTAAATGTATAGGACAAAGTCAGTATGTTATCATTCACTTTAATCAATTTGGCCTTGAATTTTAATTAAGTAGGAGTTTCAGATAGAAAGGGAATAACAGATCAGCTAGTATTTACTGATTTGAGTCTAGGTTATTGTCCAAGACCTCAAGTTTCTAACCAACGTTTAGTTCCCCGTTTTAATGCTGACATAGTTATTCTAATAAAAACTGTTTGGTTATATTCATACCCTTCTTAAAAATGTAAGATGTTTTATATTGCTAACACAATAAACTTAATTTTGGCTTGCCCTGTAAACTCGATTTCTTCAGCAACCCTTTTTCCACTTCTTTCTGTTCATTGAGAACACACTTTGAAGCTTGCTCGCTGTTGGTTCCCTAGACATCAGTCTCTCAATTCTTGTTTTCCTCCCCCAGTGATTGGGCTTTTCTTTTGTTTTACCTGTCCAAATCTTATGTTTTCTTTCAGATTCAGCTTTCTTCTTAATTACAAAAATAGATAGATCTAGCTCAGAAAATTTTTCTTGTCTTAAAAATTTAGCTGTATTTATTCATCTAGGTATGCAGTCATGTCCTGTATATTAAATTTGGGTGGGTGGTTTCAGTTTCACCTGAAAGGCTGTAAGCCATTTTTCATATTGGATCACCTATAGCTCTTCCTATAGAAGTTTAAAAAGTGTGTCCCACATGTCAATATGTGTTTGTATTTGTAGACTTGAAAAATGTCTGAAAATTCCAGTGACAGTGATTCATCTTGTGGTTGGACTGTCATCAATCATGAGGTATGCTGTTTAAGACTTTTTATAAGGCAGTGCATAATATTACAGTGTTGGCAGGATTCTTTGAAGGCTGGTATTTTTCCTTGCTTTAGCAGAAAGTTCCATTGTTTAGAGCGCAAACATTTTCCTACCCATATTAAACTTCACTGCTAACATGAACAAATGTCGTCTGCATTATTTTCCTCACCTTTAAGATGTTAGGCAGATATTTATTGAGGCAATATTACTGGCATTTTACCTATACTCTCATATAATTTTAAACAACCCTTAGTGGCGTACATTGTTTTTTCATTCTCATTTTGTAGTTAAGAAAACCAAAACTTAAAGAGGTCAAGTAATTTGGTCAAGATTCTGTAATTAGAAAGTTATCAGAGCCTACATTTAAACATAATAGAAAGAAACTATGGAAAAAATGTGTTCCATGTAGATTTGATATGTTACTAGCAGAACTTGACTGGAAAAGGACTAGGACCAGAACTCTATGACAATGAATTTTATTATTTGAATATGGTGTTACATAATAAGCATTAGTTTATTTTTTCACACTGTCAGTGTATGGCCACTATAGAAAAATCAGAAGATACTGTTAAATAGAATCAATAAACTAAAAATCATTTACACCTATTTTAAGTTTTATGGTTTGCTCTAATATTTCTTAAGCCTTATTTGTTTTCTTTCATTAATAACATTTTTCAGTAGTGTTTTTACAGCTACTTTGATAATTTAAGGCTTCAGCAATTTGTTAGTCTTTTAGAAAACAGTGTTAACCAAAAAGAAAGATTGTTTTTTGCATGAAAGTTTCAAAATTTGATAGCAGCTGTACTAACCAGTGGGTTTTTTTTTCTCTTTTTAATAAGTGACTTTTCTATTTTTAACCTGTTTTCTACAAAGCCTACATCAACTCCCATAGCAACAACTTCTCCTTCAAGGATATAATTAACAGCATGCCAGCAAGGCAGCTGTAGGAGTCTTTCTTATGTGCTTGTAAGGTGGGGCGCAAGACAGCAAGCTCCTGGCACTTACCCAAGTGTGTCATTAGGCTATTATGTATTAGAGATATGTTGTTATAGAGTAGATTATGTTTATAGTTTTATTCCTCTTCTCTCCACGTTTATTTATCAAGTTCTACTCTTTCTTATTTTAATGTACTTTGCATACGTTTCCTTTCTCTTTCGTATTCCAACATTCTGATTTAGGCCTGAATTGGTTTCCTTTACAACTCCAGTCCTGCCCCTTACCTTGCCTCCCTTTTTCTGACTCTCTAGGAAACCCCTGAGTCTTTATTTAGACTTATCTTTAGGTCTCAGTTAAAACCCCACTGTTTTGGCCCTCTCTGGTGGCACAGCGGGTTAAAGCACAACACTGAGAAACTAAAGCCACTGCAGCATGAGTTCGATCCCCGCCTGCCCCGGAGGTGACCACATGGCGTGGCAGACCTCTCCTGACCCGCCCGCTGCTCCCCTCAGCAGTGTACTTCCTCCATCTACTGTTCTGCGCCCCACCCGCCCTGATGAAACCTCTCGCTGTCCCTGAGCTTCTGGACTGTACCCCAGTTCTGTATGCACAAATAAATCTTTAAAAAAAAAACCCACTGTTTTAATAAATTCTGCTAATTTTTGCTGTTCTGAGTTATATGAGAACTGAGATCTTTCTATTTATGGATCAGTACACAATAGGAAAAATAGCGGGAGGGGGCTGATGGGAGGTGTATTATTTATTGATTAACTTTATTTTGCTAGTTAAGATATAGGAGGAAAAGCCTTAAAATCTAATTTTATTAAGAAAAGATTGACATCAAGGTAAGAAGGACAACCTTGGAAGAATAAAAAGTACAGTGTCTTAATAAAAGAAAGTTTATTAATCATTTTCGTCCTTACTCTTAAACATTTTTAGCTGTACATTGCTGTAAGAAGAAAAAAATTTTTTAATGTGACTTTCTCTGAATAGTCTGTAATTTTGAGGATTTTTTTTTTAATTTTGAGGATATTTTAATAGTGCACAAGTACCTAGCAAAGTGAGTGACCTAAGGAGTTCTATAAATTATGAGTATAAGTAAGTTAATAGAAATACATATGTATAGAAAACTTAGAAACTCAAATTTATTGCTTGGACTTACAGAGTAATTTAGAACATTCAACTCTTGGACTTAAGAGTCTAAACCCTGGACTTTGTTCTACTGTTTCCCTACATAGGTGTTTGTGAACTAAATTAAACAAAAGATAGGTCAAATATGGTTTCCTTGGTATATGGCAGTATCTGGAACATTTGATAATGAAAGCATCTACTTGAGCCAAACCTGGCTTTAAGCGGCTGATAGGCAAATAACTGAATATTGCTTTTTCCCTAGGGGTCTGATATAGAGATGGTGAATTCTGAACAAGGTACAGCCAGTGACGTCTGTGAGCTTACCCCAGGATGTTCAACTTTAGAGCAAGGAGAACTACAAGTACTACAGCTAGAGCAGGGAGGTAAGATGTTTTAAAAATGTGATTTCCTTACTTTTTTAATAGGATGTATGAGTGCCATTATGAATCTTGCCTTCATTAGATCGGTGCACCTGGAGGAGCCCATGGTACCAACTGGCCCAAGAGTTTATTTGCAACTTTAGCTACCTGAGCCTCCAGATAGCTTTTTGACACTATATGTGAAACTAGTAACCAAATATTATTAATCTTGATTAAATCTAGGGACAAACACAGTTATTAATTTGTCACAGGGATTTATTATAAACACTTCCAGTGGGATTTGATGCCGACATAACTATATAGAGAAATATGACACCCAAATAATTAATAGTATACTCTTATCTTCAAATTTAAATTACTTCTTAACCAAGAACTATTACATAAAATATGGAATTATATTTACTCGAGAGAATGAAGAGGCTATATCAAAGCTAGAAATGTAATAGATAAAATTTGTTAATCTTTGTTTTCAAGCTATGTTAATTATTCTCATTTGAACAGCACTTCTCTTCTTTCATGGGTCAGAGATCTCTTGAAAATATAAAAGCTATGGATGGACTATCCTAAGAAATTCATATTTCACATATATATATATATATAAATTATACTTCCTAGGAACTTTGACTTGCCCCCAAGTTGACCTGTTGAGTCTTATCTCCAAAATAATGTTCTCTCTGGGGGCTAAATAACAAACAAAAATGGTGTTCTTCCCTTCCCCCAATAACTCCTCCTGTTATTTTGGAGGAGTTAAGTTTCATAAGAAAACTCAATATATATGATAGAGAAAAATTGATGAGCAAGAAACTTTTAATTTTTTACAAAAATATAAAAATATTTCAACAGAAGATAATTAAAATTTAACTATAATTTTTACAGGGCAAAGTTTTATAAAGTAAATAAAATTTGTTTTTTTTTATCATTAAAAAATTTTTATACATTGTTGTATATTGCCCGTAAAATTCCCACCACAAGTTCATTCGTGAGCCATCACCATGGTCGCTTCTGCTCTTCTCTCCCCTGTTTTGATCCCTTTGCCTCCCCCACTCTCACAGATTACCTGCTAATTTTTTTTATTACAATTGTTACTCTTTTCCTGACCACTTATTTGGTTCTCCTATATTCTTTCTATAAGTGAAACCATCCAATATTTTTCTTAGCAAGAAATGTTTTAAATTGTCTATCACTTTTTTCCCTGACGATAACCTGCTGTATTGTATTCATTTGGTTTTTTTTTGCATATGGTTTTTACATAAATATATTCATTGTAAATCTTTTAATATTTTTAATTTCTCTTAACATAGCCACTTTTATTAACAGCAATATAGTTTAAATTCTTATTTGCACATTATTTTCCTTTGAGGAATTTTTTTTAAAGCATTGTTTACCAGAGTTCATTTGATTTTTTTTTTTAAAGATTTATTTATGCATATAGAACAGGGGTAAAGGCATAGGTGCAGGGGTGATGAGAGGATTCACCAGATTGAGGAAGTACATTGCTGAGGGGAGCAGCGGGCGGGACAGATCCTGGCCATGTGGGTCACCTCGGGGCAGGATCGTAGTGCCCAGCCAGCTTTGCAGTGCTGGCTGTAACTCATTGCCCACCATGGAGGACCATCTTTGAGGAATTTTTTATAAAATATTACCTACTATAGTGACATTACTTAGTTTTTCTGCATCCTTGTTTTTTATTGTAAGGAATTTATAACATGAATCCACAGTTTTGATCATTGTGTTACCAGGCATAGACAATCATCTTTTAGGACTTGTGAGTAAATTTTGAGAAATTCAGGAAATGTGCTGTCACTTGTCTAAGAAATGACTTTACTTATTGATAGGTTTTTAGAAACACCTTGGATAAAGTGTTCTGGTATTATACGGTAGGGATTATGTTTGCATTGAAATTGTATTTTATGTGTCCAGATTATATTATGTGTAGACTACTTAAAGTTAGTAAAGCATAATTGATTTGGTCTTTGCTTGATATTAGAGAGCAGCCAAAGTAGCACAGTATTAATGGGAGAGACTGCTTATCCATCGTTGGAGCAAATGAAGTCAGCTCTTGAGGTAAACTTGTGTTTTACTCTGTGGATATATGATATCCTTGGATAAATAGATATCCTTGGTTAAATGGTATTCCTTCTAGATCACAGCTTCCATTCCTAGTTGTGCATTCTATAATTATTTGAATTTTGAATAACTTGTATTGAAAATTTCAAGATCTCACAGATTGATCAGCTTTAAGATTAAAGTTAGCTTCTACTTAAACTCTTGACTGATTGAGATGGCTTAATTTAGAAAAGTAGTGTCTTGATAATGTGTTAAAGACTTATTCATATAACCTCTAATACACTTTATTTTGTAGATAGGCTACATTCTTGAATTACATTGAGAAATTAAGCTCTTAAGGTTTATGTAAAATAGGAATTGTTAAACTAGTGACCTCTAGTTTTTAACTTGACTTGTAGATAAAAAGAGATAGCAAGAAGATCTTTACATGTCATAGCAGTTGAAATTTACTACATACATAATTAGAAAAAATTAATCTACCTTTGATGAGCTTCCTGCCAAATAAACCCATGGAGCTAGTATGGCGTAAATCCCACCTTTCTATGGTTATTAGGTGGTTGTGATTGATTCTGAGCCCATTAAAACAAGTAGGCAGCAGTTTGATGTAATTCTGAGAGAGTTGCCAAGGGCTATTTGATGATGTTTTAAAGGTAACATGAACTTACTATTTTTTTAAAGATTCATTTTTATTTATTTATGCATTCAAAAACTGGAGTGTAGGCCAGAGGTGTGGAGGGTGAGAGGGTTCACCAGAGACAGCGTGGGGAGCAGAGCGAGCAGGTGTTATCTACTGAAATATATTGCTGAAGGTAGCAGCAGGCAAGATAGGAGAGGTCTGCTGCTCCATGGGGCCTAGGAAATACCTCATGCAGCAGTGGTTGACAATAGCTTGATAGCTGGACTTTAACTAAACCCTGTACCACCAGGGAGGCCCATGTGAGCTTACTATCAAATAATCCTTCCTATTGGACAGGACTCATAACTTTTATTTCATGCCCAAATTACCATACTGCTTAAATTCTGTTATATACTTTGAACTGTTTAGAAAATATAAGATTCTTAAATAATTGTTGAATTTACTGCCTCTAAACTTCTAATTCCTCAGGGAGAAGAAGAGATGTTCCCTGAAGACAATGTCTATTTTGGAACTGTCAGTGATGATTCTGATATTGTTACCCTTGAGCCACCTAAGTTAGAAGAAATTGGAAGTCAAGAAGAAGCTATAATTGTTAAAGAAGCACAGAATCCAGAAGACTTTAACATGGGCTCTTCCTCTAGCAGCCAGTATACATTCTGTCAGCCAGAAGCTGGTAAGAACTTCAGAAAAAGTACATTGACAGATACTTAAGGATTCCTGTGGCCACATAATATGTAATGGCTTATTTTCTAAATAAATCTCAAATTTTGAATATATTTGAGTAACATGCAAGAAAAATTTTTAAATAGAATCTGTTCTATCTTGTATTTCCTAGACTTTGGGATCTAGAGAACAACAATCCTTTGCTAAAGCCATAAGTACTATATCTTATATTTAAGTGAAAAAAATATAGTTTCCAAGGAAATTTGTTATTTCATACATATGCAAATATATTTGGTATTTAGAAAATTTTAAAGCTGGGAGATTGACTCATTACACCAAAAAGTAGAAATATTAAGATTTTTATTTATAATGATACACATAGTATATCCATAGTTTGTAGACAAGAACTTAAAGTGCCTCAAATACTTTAATACTTTATTTGGCATTCTTTGCTTTTAGAGGGAAATTTCAACTTGAACTGATTGGTATCCATAAAATGTTTATTTACAGAACTAAGATAATTGATTTTAAAATCTCTTATGGTCATCCCATTTTATTTAAATTTAAGATGTGTGCTTTATTTGGTAGTCATTTGTCTTTCTTTGACTCTTTTTTCCCCTTTTAAGAGGAATATTTGTGGGACAGATGGGTGGTCATATTGAGGCTAGAGTATTTTCAGAAAAGGACCAAGTAGTCATTTAAGAAATAAGGGCCCTCCCTGGTGGCATAGCGGGTTAAAGCACTGCACTAAGAAGCTTAAGCCACTTCCGCATGAGTTCAATCCCCGCCTGCCCCGGAGGTGCCCACATGACGTGGCAGACCTCTCCTGACCCACCTGCAGCTCCCCTCAGTGGTGTACTTCGTAGATCTGCCTGTTCTGCTCCCCATTCTGTCCCTGGTGAATCCTCTCACCCTCTGCATCTCTGCCCTGTACCCCAGTTCTGTATGAATAAATAAATAAAATCTTTAAAAAAAAAAAAAGAAATTAGTGATATACACTATTCATTTTCTTCAGGACCTGGGACACTTTAGAGCACATTATTCCAATTTATAATTTATATCTCCTTTCTGAATTGAGATTTTCTGGGGAATAGGTGTTAAAGTTTATTACATACATAACCCACAATTAAGAAGAATTTTTTATTAGGTATACTTTTATCCATTACATTCTCTCCTCCACCCCTAAATGGAATTATTCCAATAAAGATAATTTCAAAAAATTACTTAAAAGTAACATTTGGGGGCCCTCCTTGGTGGTGTAGCAGGTTAAAGCACAGCACTGAGAAGCTAAAGCCACTTCCGCATGAGTTCGATCCCAGTGGCAGACCTTTCCTGACCCTTCTGCTGCTCACCTCAGCAGTGTACCTTGTCAGTCAGCCTGTTCTGCTCCCCACTCTGTCTCTGGTGAATCTTCTCACTGCACCTGCATCTCTGGACTGTACCCCTAGTTCTGTTTGCACAAATAAAATAAATCTTTTTTTTTTTTAAGATTTATTTGTGCATACAGAACTGGGGTACAGGCCAGAGGCTCAGGGGTGGCGAGAGGCTTCACCAAAGACAGACTGAGGAGCAGAACAGGCAGATCAATGAAGTACACTGCTGAGGGGAGCAGCGGGCGGGTCAGGAGAGGTCTGCCATGCCATGTGGTCACCTCCAGGGCAGGTGGGAATCGAACTCATGCGGAAGTGGCTTTAGCTTCTTAATGCTGTGCTTTAACCCGCTGCGCCACCAGCGAGGGCCCAAATAAAATAAATCTTTAAAAAAAAAAATACAAACATTTGGATCTATATTGAGTGTATCGTATATAAATTAATTACCTGGTTTTTTGTTCTCTTTCCATTACTCTACATTTTCTTTGGTCTGTTAATTCTTGCTATCTATAGTTACTTTGTTTTTCCCTTTTTCTTTCCATCATTATTAGATTTCAACTTTAGTTTTTCTTCTAAATCAGATTCTTGTGACATTTCTTTGTTGATTTAAGAACCTTCCCTACTTCCTCCATATGATCGTCTCATCCTCCAAGAAAGCAAAGTTGGTAGTTGAAGTTTGTATTTGTATATATATCTTTTTAAAAGGGCATGATTATTACATTTTGATAGAGTATGGATAAAATGTTAAGTGATACTTTTAAAAAGTACTTCCAGTTCTCTTTTGACTTTTTTTCCTCTTTACTAAAGCTTCATACATCTTTTTTCCCCCGTTTATTTATAAAAGAAAGGTGGTGGGAGAAGCTGTGGAAGATTCCTGAATGCATAAGGGGATGGGATGGTCAGCTGAAACACCATGTTCCTAGCCAACTCGCTTTCCAAGGTGGTGTGACTAAATCTGGTCAGCCTTTTTTTAGAGCTGAGTGTGCCTCGTCACATTTACTATTTACTAAATGCTTTTAAAAATATCTATTGTTGTCTGCAGTACTCTAAACAGGTGTTCAAAATTGATTCTGTAATAAAGCTGGTTAAGCTTATTGCATGCCTTTGCATTGCTTGCATCTTTGACTGTGGGCCAAATTAAGGTTTAAAAGAAGTTTAAAAATCAAAATATTTCAGCTATCACGTATGGGTTAAAAAAGATGGAAGCCTTAGATAAGGGACATTGAATTTTTAATATGGGTTTGGCTGATTTGTTTAGATTATACAAAGAAGACAGTATATCAATGTAGAATTAAAAAATTTTTAGAGGCATTTTGATAAATGGTTTTACATTTTACCCATCTTAATGTTATCAGAAAATATGAGTTAAATATTCCAGTCATGATCATAAATGCTTTTGTATTATGTAATGTTTTGCATAAGTTTTCCTTTCTTTTTCTTTGTCCAAGAAATGTAACCTCACAGATGAGGCGATGGCATCTTGGGAAAACTAGTATCAAGAGTAACCAGATAAACAGTATGAGCATAAGCGTCATGATCAAAAGATCACTCTCAGCGACATCATTTTACTAAATATTAATGCATATTCATTATTAATTTACTCAGTAGTACCTTCTCTGTGTTGTGTGAAGGTTAACTGAATCCTTTGTGATCCATTCTATAAAAAGTATTGCCTAACCCGTTTTCTTGTGGCATGATTATCTGGTTTTCTGAAGAATTGATTTGCCTTTTTGAAGCATGAATGTTACTTGTTTTGGTGCTCTCTATCAAATTCAAGTTCATGTTTTGTCCTTAATTAGAGTGCTGACCCCCTCACACCTTTTCTAGCTTGACTGTGGAAATTATTACCTAATATGTGTCAAAATATTGTTTATTGACAAATGGAATAGCGTTATGAAAGTATGTATTTGAAAAAGCTGAGGGTGATTTTTTTTCCAGTGGCAATGTTTCTAGGACTTGAGATTTCTTGTGATGTTCTCTCCCAGATCTCCCCTCCCCCATTTTGTTGTACTTTGCTATTCTTGTTGTGAAGAAGTACCAGACTAGTCCTTAATATTGAAGATAGCTATTGTGTCACTTCCTCATGCTGACATATTTACTAGAGGGTAAAATAAACAACCTTCTAGTAAGAGTGGCAGTCGAAGGGAAGGACTCATCTGACTTCTGGAAACCTGTGTGAGACTATAGTGCCCTGAACATTGATCAGGGAATCATAGGCTAGGAATGAAACTAGGAGATCTTGGTCATAGATACAACAAGAAAAGTTTTGGTAGTTACTGTAGTTAGGAAGTCTTAGGAGTTGCTTGTGTGTTTCTCTGTGTTCCTTAAACAGTTTAGCATAAATTACTTAGGGCTCTAATCACAAAATACTTAAATAGGCTATGAGAATGATTGTTTTAATAGTTCAAAATACAAAGAAGTTTTTACATAAAAACCCGCTAGACCCTTAAAGGCACAGAATGTATTAACAGAGTCTTTTATGTACAGTTGAAAGAAATCTTTTATTTTGGCTTTGATAAACTTAAAAAATTGAGTTTTTGTTTGGACTCTTTTGTATAAAATGGCATGTCAAGATGCCATTAATTATTCTAAATCATACTGGGAAAGCTCTTGCCTAATAAAATTTTTAATATTTATTAACTTTTTTCTTTTTAAAATAGTATTTGCATCTCAGCCCAGCGATGATGAATCAAGTAGTGATGAAACCAGTCATCAGCCCAGTCCTGCCTTTAGACGGCGCCGTGCTAAGAAGAAGACGGCCTCTAGTTCAGAATCTGAAGACCGGTCAGTTGAACAAGAAATAGAACCATCCAGAGAGATGTATAAACGCCCACTTGGTAGTGGTCTCAATAAATGTGTTATACTTGCTTTGGTAATTGCAATCAGCATGGGATTTGGACATTTTTATGGTAAGTTTTTGAAAAATTTGTGTATATCTAAATTGATGGTATAGTGTAGCAGCACTTAACCAAGTGAGGAATTCTGGGAACTGTTTTCACTGTCATCTGTAATTTAAATATGTGATCTTGGAAAACTTACAACATGAACTTCAGTTTTCACTTCAAAAAATGAAATAGGGTTGTCTGTTTTTTAACAGACACAAAGCTGTTTTTTTAATTAGGCAATAGTTAAAGAAAATACTAGGATTATTGGCATGTATATTTTGTTTTAAAAACATTTTGATGATTAAAAATTGGAATATTGGAGTTAAGGTTAGGAGAGTGGGATGCTGTCTTATTGTAAAATATCATTGAAACTGGATAGGAGTTTGCTTTTATAGAGTGAACCTAACAGCAGTATTTTAAGAAGGTAGGTGGTATGGGGAAAAGTAGAATAGTTGGCTAAGAAATTTTGTAATCCAGGTAATAAGTGATCAGGGTCGTGACAATTATAGAGAAGTTTGGTGAATAAGGGACAATGAAATAATGATGGAAAACAGAACTTTGAACCCGTATGCCTGAGATAGTGGTGGTTTATTTTTTTAAGTCTAAAGTTTACTGTTTTACTTTTGGAGTTGGGGTTTTTGTTAGGCAAGAGATTTTCTCGATGATGAAGATGGTGAGTAGAATTTGTATTTTACAGTTTTATTCTACAGTGACTTAGGACAGATGTTGAAGCTTGGATTTCCGCCCCCCCCACACACAGAGATAACGGTTCAGCAGGCAGCTATATGTATTGCTTAGAAGCTCTGGCGAGACTGAGCCTTGATCCACAGAAGAGACTTTGTCACTTCTTAACAGCAATGATAGCAAAAACTGGAAGTGGTTTAATGCGATAGAGTCATATTTGTAGACATTACCAGACAGACCAAAGATTTTTTTCTTGGGTGATAATACTTTATAGTTAGGCAGTTAAGACAGAGGGGGAAAAAATACCCAGTGAGATTACAAATGGCCATATTGAGTCAGTCATCAAACATATGTGTAATAATCAGTGAATTCAGATGGGAACACCTTTTTTAATATAAGTTATTTTATGGTAGGCAAAATAGTTCACCCTATTGGTATTTTGAAAGAAAATGAAAAGGTTTTCTTGTATTTATTTTGGGAACTACAGATTAATTTATTTCCACATTTTAAAAAATCTGAATATTTTGAGTAATACTCAAATTTTCCATACTTTTATAAACCAAACTTTAGCGAGAGAAAGTAAATCCTAACAATATCATAGCTGTTAACTGATAACAATTCTGTAATTTGGCAAAAGTTCCTCTTCAGTGTTTTTCAAGATACCAAACAAGGGCTATACCTCGTGGCACAAAAGGTTAGAGTGTAGCACTGTGGAGGTTTCTATAGCCACCACTGCATGAATTCAGTCCCCCACCAGGGGGCTGACCCATTTGGCATGGCAGACCACTCCTGACATGCTCGCTACTTCCTTCAGCAATGTGTTTCTGTCGATCTGCCTGTTCTGCTCTCCACTCTGTCTCTGGTGAATTTTCTCACCTCCTACACCTCAGGCCCGTACCCCAGTTCTTGTATGTATAAATAAATACAATTTAAAAAAGGATACCAAACAAATTAAAAATTATCTTAAGAATACGAGAATAGTAAGCTATCATTGCATCTTTTCTGAATTCTGTGATGTCTTTTATAATGGTATGGCATTTAAGAGATGTATTATTAAGATTGTTAAGTGTGTTTTGCTTTATTTTTGATTTAGTTTTTTTCCCCCTCATGCATGTAGAATGTAGCAGCATGCAGAATGTAGCAGCATGTAGACAGCATGTCTTAGCAAACTAACATTTTGATTTTACGGTTAAAATATAGAGAACCTTAACTGGTTTATTAGTCCTTTCATTTCTAGGATAGGCATGGTAGTATTCCCAGTACAGTCCTTATCAGTACAGAATTTTTAACATTTTGACTTTAAGAATGGTGGGTATTCATTATTAGCCAGTTGTTTTCACTGTACTTTTTGGACTTGTGTTACATCATTTTGGCAAAGTACAGTGAGGAAAAAAATAGGTGTTTTCATTTTTCCTTACTAATTTATAGACTGGGAGTGGATTTTGTTTTTTCTTAATTTGTCAAAGGGGGAGAATGAAACTTCATGTACTTCAGAGATCCCTCAAAAATAACCTACATGAGTATCTCCAATATAGTAAGATTTACATTTAATTTTTTTTTTTTTTTGGTTAGGGTGATGTGAACTGATGGTTGCTTGACTGTCCCTGGGTTTATAAAGAATAAAAAACATATTAACTTGGTTGGTCTAATATGTTACATTAACATCCAGTCACTACCGTTTGATGAGAATTTACTTATTCATTCTTTGTTTATATAATCAGAACTTTCATAGAATTGTGAAGTGTTGATACTTTGAAGAAAATGTTTCTATTTAGGTTAAGAATGAAAAGATGCAGAACAAATATTTTGCTGTATTTTAAAATGTTGGTTATCATAATATTTGTTATATATGAATAAAAATTTTCACTTTTAGGCACAGTGCAGATTCAGAAGCGTCAACAGTTAGTCAGAAAAATACATGAAGATGAACTGAATGATGTGAAAGATTATCTTTTGCAGTGTCAGCAGGAACAAGAGTCACTTACAGATTATAAGGTATGTACTACTAACAAATTTTATAAAAATAATTGTACTTAGATACAAATTATAGTACTGATTGGTGAATCAGTAATACTGGTAATTGTAGATTGAATAGTTCTATCTCTAGTCACTATTGTGAAGGCATCACGTACAGTTTTCTTTCTTCTCATGAGAGCCTTGTGTATTTGTCTTAATTTCATTTTATTAAAGACTTTCCCAAGGTTAGCAAATGGCAAGACTGGATTTAATTCCATTCATCTGACTCTTACAATGTTATTCTTAATAAATAAATATATTGTAATTAATGTTATTTTAAATTGACACTATTGCATGTAAAAATATTAACGTTATAAAGACATCACTATATATAAAACATTAACACTTACAGAATTTAATAAAACATTTTTTGTCATGAGAGTTTGTAGCATTTCTTAGAGTATTGTCTTGATTGAGGACAATAATCAGTCCTTTTTCTCTGACTGCTTGTTAGTTTTGATACTAGCATGTTATTTTCCCCACTTAAATGTCACTTATTCCAGTAGAACTGTGTTGCCCATTTCATGGGCTTATGAGGACCAACAAAATGGGTGGTCTCTTGTCTATTATTTCCCTATGAAAGGTGTAGAAATGTAAATGGCTCCTTCCCTTATAGCATTATGTTTTTTGAAGACAGAATCTTTGACATCAGAATTATCTTTCTGAAGGTGGCATTGCTGAAATTGATTGTAAAGTGTAGCTTTCCCTACCTGACCAAAGAATGTTATAAAACATGTAGCTGTTTTTTTCTCCACTTTCATGCATTCTGATTCTGTTGAATGATGTTGGCTTAGCTGTTTTTTTAATTCACTTCATGGTTCTACTGGATGATGTTGGCTTTTAGGGAACTTGGCCCACATACATCTTTACTGAGTCAGTTCTTCCAATTATTTTGGCTCCAGTTGTTTAGTGTGGTTTGGACCTTGAGAGATCTTCATGGAAGACCTACCCAGGATCTGCTTACTAGGTTTACTTCAAGATTATGGAATTTACTAGATGTGGAATGTTATTTAATAAATAAATAAATCAGTCAACCAGTCAATCAGTCTACTTATGCTGTGGCTCCCTATGCTTGTGCATTTAGAGATATTGCTTGCACGAGCCTATTTTATTCCATTCACATCTTATGGGTAGAAGAAAGTACTCAATAGGGAAAGCCAACGAAATGATGATAATACAATTTAAAATTTTATTTTATTTTAAGTTTTCTGCATATTAAACTGGATTGTGAAGAATCCACTTAAGAGAATTTTCAAGTGGAAAAAATACTGTCATCCTCTTCAAGGAGCTATTACTTGTATAAGTCAGATTTTTTGGGGTCTAATTCAAAGGTGATAACTATATGTTGTAATAAATAAAGCACAATTTAACTATCATTTTGCTGACTTAGACAGTTTAATTGGGGCCTCCTTGGTGGCACACGGGGTTAAAGCGCAGCACTATGAAGCTGTCCATAGCCACTGCAGCATGAGTTCTATCCCTAGTCAGGGAGTAGACCCACAAGAAGCAGCACACCTCTCCTGTCTTACCTGCTGCTCCCCTTAACAGTGTATTTCATATTTCAGTCAGTCTGCCTGTTCTGTTCCCACTTTGTCTCTGGTGAATCCTTTCACACACCCCTCCCCCCCATACACCTCTGGCTTGTACCCCAGTTCTTGTATGCATAAATAAGTCTTTAAAAAAAAAGATTAAGTGACTGAACAATGCTAGTATTCATTAACCTGTTTTGGTTAAACTTTGTTATCAGTACATAAATTGGAAGAAAAATCAGATCATTTAAGGCTACCTTGAACTGTATCAAAATTCTCTAAACCTGATTCAACATGATTTGTTTATCAAGGGTGCTGACTTAAGATTTGTATTACTGATCTGTGACTATACAGGTACCTCTTTGCTTTCTCCTTTTCTTAACAAACCTGTCCTTTTAAAATGTAAAACAAAAAACATTACTAAACTGGTTATAATTTTTTCAGAAGATAATTTGAAATTGGAGAAGATAGTTACATTACCACGATTTGGTTTGACTTCTATAGTGCTGATTGTACTTGAATAATTTATCTGAAATTACTTAGATAGGTTCTAATATTCGTAAGATTAAGATCTTTCAGATAGGGCTGAAATTACTGAAAATGTTTTGTTTAAAGGGTAAGATATAAATTGTACACTACAGACTGTTTCTATGTATATTGTATATAAACATGTATTTATAAACTATTTATAAATTTTATAAACATTTTACAGAATTTTTTGAAACCTGAAGTCATCTTGAGCATTAATTTTAACTTTTTTAAAATATGATCTCTCTGATCCAAGGATCAGAGAACCTTTTAGTCCTACCTAAATTCTCGCTAGAGAGCCTTCTCAGAAGAAATTGGTGTTGTGTAGTGAAAAGTTAGAGCACCCATTTCCCTTTCTCCTAATTTATATAAATGGATCTGGAAACCAATAAAGATTTCATGATTATTGGAAACGCTAATCAGAAGTATGACTGCATTCTTATTTTGATGTTGCTCTCTGCTGTGCATTTTCTTCCTTATGAGTACTTATATTTTCCAATTTTTATATAAGTACTACATAATAGATGATCTTTGTCAAAATAGACACTAAAATTTTATGGAGTACTTGTTTTTTTTTTTTAAAGATTTAAGTTCAGCCTTTAAAGCACTTGACATTTTTCTTTTCTTTAAAAATATTTAGTTGTTAAAGGAAAACCTTGCGAAGTGTTGGACCCTTACTGAAGCAGAGAAACTGTCCTTTGAAACTCAGAGAAACAACCTTGATACTGAAAACCAGTATTTAAGGATATCACTGGAAAAGGAAGAAAAAGCCTTATCTTCATTACAGGAAGAGCTAAGGAAACTAAGAGAACAGATGAGGATTTTGGAAGATAAAGGAGCAAGAACTGAGTTAGTTACAGAAAATCAGAAACTTAAGCAGCATTTGGAAGAAGAAAAACTGAAAACACAGAGTTTCCTTAATCAAAGGGAGACTCTACTGGCAGAAGCAAAGATGCTGAGAAGGGAATTAGAGAGAGAACAATTAATGACCATGGCTTTAAGGGTAGAACTCCAACAGTTAAGCTCTAGTCAATCTTACGGCAACACAGACTCTTCCAATGTATTGACTGAAGAAAAGGAAATAGAAACCTTACGGGAACGACTCGCTGAACTGGAGAGGAAACTAAACTTTGAACAGCAGCGTTCTGATTTGTGGGAAAGACTGTATATTGAGGCAAAAGATCAAAATGGAAAACAAGAAACTGATGGGAAAAAAAAAGGCAGCAGAGGAAACCACAGGGCTAAAAATAAATCAAAGGAAACATTTTTGGGCTCAGTTAAGGAAACATTTGATGCCATGAAGAATTCTACCAAGGAGTTTGTGAGGCATCATAAAGAAAAAATTAAACAGGCTAAAGAAGCTGTGAAAGAAAATCTGAAAAAATTCTCAGATTCAGTTAAATCTACTTTTCGGCATTTCAAAGATACCACTAAGAATATCTTTGATGAAAAGGGCAACAAACGATGTGGTGCTACAAAAGAAGAATCTGCTAAAAAACCAACAGTTTTTAGTGAATATTTACACGCACAGTATAAGGCACGTGCACAAAATCAGAATAGTAGAGGCCCTACTGTGCAAAGAGAGGGAAGGAAAGAAAAAACAACTCACTTTGAAGAATTTGGAAAAAATACAAATTCACAAAAATGCAGTGCTGAGCATGACTGTAATGAAAATTCATTCAGAAAGACTTGTTCTGGTGTAGTTGAATGTGCTCGACAGGAATCCATCAACGCTTTTAATGTTAAAATGTTGAGTCCTGTAGGGATAAAAGAATTTAGACAGGTAGTTGAAAGGTATTTACTAGACAAACTGGATAATTTTCATCATTGGAAAGAACTCAATCAATTCATCGACAAGTTTTTCCTAAATGGTATCTTTATACATGACCAGAAGTTCTTCACTGACTTTGTTAATGATGTTAAAGTTTATCTTAAAGACATGAAGGAATATCAAGTAGATAATGATGGAGTGTTTGAGAAGTTGGATGGATATATATATACACATCTCTTTGGTCACACTTTTTCCCCTCCATATGGACCCAGGTCGGTTTATATAGCACCATGTTATAATAGTTTTTAACATTTATTGGTTGGATAGCATTCATATCATTTGATACATTTTTTGGAATGTTACTTTTGTAAAGGATATACTTTATTGCCACTGAGAATTTGGAGTAAGTTGAAAGACAGTTTTTGGTTAGTAGCTATTACAAACTGAAATTCTCATATAACCAATTTGACTTGAGAAAAATGGCTTACTTTCTACCAGTTAAGGATATGTAAATCCCACTTTAGTCCTTTTTTGGTTATATTTTATATGAAAATATAATCACCTTAAATGAATTTATTTTCCTTGAATATTTTATTTACTCACCTTTTAGGAAGGTAAGAGTAAATAACAAAGTTCACCTTGAAATTAGAAGAGTTTATATATATAACAGTTTGGATGTTCCACTTTTGTCTGTTACATTTACCAATTAAATTATACATTTATTACAAAATATGGATAAAGCTAGTGGCAAGATCGAAGAGGCAAACTTAGCAAGTTCTAGTGTGTGCTTTATATATTATTTCTAAAAATAACTTTGTATCTATTGCTCATCAGCTTTATATTCTGTAATAGGAAACATGGCCAGACTTTAAATGTCAACTTTTATTTTTTACCTTTGAGATATTTATACATCTTTTTGAATAAATGTAATGTGTCTATAAAATAATGAGACTGATTTTGGTGTCTTTAGTCATTAACAAGTTATCTAGTGCTTATAATGAGCAAAGCACTGAGGTTTCCACAGGAAACAAATGGAAAATTCTTGCTATCAAGCAGCTCACAAGCTATTGGAAAGTTAGGTAAATATAGGTAATGGAATGGAGGTATTGAGGCACATAGTAAAGGTGGCTTCAGTCTGTTTGGAAATGCTTGGGAAGACTTCATAAGTGAAGTGGCCATTGATCACCTTTTAAAACGATAAGAAATGAGAACATGGGGTAGGACAGTTCACTCAAAGGGAACTTTTATTTCATTTAAAAGGAACTTGGAGATGTGAAGTTCTGCCACTTTTAAGGAGGCTGGGTATTATTATGAATAGAAGAAAAGATTGGTATCATGAAGGTTTAGTTTTATGCAGAAGGACTTGGTTTTTGTTTTTGTTTTTTTTTTTTTGCATTTTCAGTAACTGTAAGTAGTTTGGAGAAGTGGTTGGAAAGGGTGACACTAGAAGCTAGTTTTTTTTTTTTTTTAAACAATACAGATAGCTGATGATAGCTTAAGTATGATAGTAGGTGTGGAAAGAAAAATGAACAACAGCAACATTAGTGGTATTTCTTGTGGAAAGTAATAGAAAATAACAGTGATTTCTAGATTTTTGGGTTGAGTTACTTGTTGGATAGTAATATCTTTATGGCAAGGAATACCAAGTTTTGGGTACAGGGAGCTGGCAATAAGAACTGTTTGGAGGTACCTTTTGACAGTCACAGACTTCCTATGTGAGCGTAGATAGTCAAGGCTGGGGGGTGTTGATCAGACTTTTGGGAAGCACGATGATCTCTTAAGGGGTTGCAGTGAAGAATGCTGAGAATGACAAGACTAGAGAGTGGTGTGAAAACCCAGAGCGTCTCTTGTAAATGTGTCAGAATCTTAGAAGATCAAGAATTGGGGATGTTTCTTTGCTTGGGTGGCCATGGCCATGGATGGCATTATGGACTGCTTCAGTGAAGGGTGACAGAAACCTGATCACAGACACCAGGGAAGCAGTAAATACAGACATTTCTTATGAACCTTCGGTGTTAGCAGATGTGGTGGTGGTGGGGGGTTAGGTGGGACAGAGCATATTTGTAAGAGATGTGTGAGTATTCCTGCAGAGAGGAAGCTAATGGAGGAGGGGAAAGGAGGAAAATCATGGAAACACATCTCATTATTTTATTGTCACATTCCTATTCTTTATCTTTTGCGTGTCTCCCCATTTTGCCTATATATATATATATATATATTTTTTTAATTCCCTAGGAATGAAGTATGATACTCAGTCCTTTTGGTATAATTATACTAGCATTAATACTTGAGATTAACAACCTCTTATTGGTGTTCAGATAATAGCTTAATGGAGAAAAACATTAATACTGTTTCTCGTTTAAATAAATTTAACTCTAACATAGATGAAAAATGTGTTTACTGCTTTCAGTCGACCAGATAAAAAGCAACGTATGGTAAATATTGAAAACTCCAGGCATCGAAAACAAGAGCAGAAGCACCCCCAGCCACAGCCTTATAAAAGGGAAGGTAAATGGCATAAATATGGTCGCACTAATGGAAGACACATGGCAAATCTTGAAATAGATTTGGGGCAGTTACCTTTTGATCCTAAATATTGACCACCATAATTAGTTAAATTCGAAAACTGTAATAGAAACATACTTCGTACAGTGTTTTGTGTTGAAAGTAAGATGAAATGATCAAGATAACAATGTCTTTTTATCATTTTTTAAGTATCAGTTTGATGACTTTATACTATTGCTCAGAAGCATCAAATGAAAGCTTACTAACCTGCATTTTTCTGTAATTTAGCTTTGCTGAACTTTCTTTTTGCACTGGAAATGTTCAACTGTAGTTTTATTAAGGAAGTCAGGCATGCAACAGATTTTGTGCATGAAATGAGACTTCCTTTCAGTGTGAGCTTAAAGCAAGCTCAAATCATACATGACGAAGTGTAAATTAACACTGATACTTTAAATTTGCAGTAGAGCTTGAAAAAAGTACATTGTGATGGAATTTCATCTTTAACATTTTATAACCTTACACTTGCTTCTTGTCTTTTTGTGGGTTCAAGAGCCCGTTGACTTGTGAAGAGTGCTGCCTTCTTATGAGCTTGCTGACTTGTTCTCTTGTGAAATTTCTTGCACAGCTGAATATTGTGGAAGAAACAATAAAACTACAACATGAGGAAAACTAAAGGTGTTTATTTAAAACCTGGCCTTCTTTTAATATGTGGTTGTATATTTTGTGACTCCCCCCACCCCCCAATACATTCCCTCAGTAGTGGTATTTGATAAAGCATTGCTAGTTCCATAAATCTTGCTTCTTGCTGTTTACTTGAATAGTTAAGCAGCATCTGAGCTTATCTACCCTTTCTCTGTGAAAGATCTAAACACAGTTCACAATTTCATTTTCTGTTGAGTTTCCTTTTTGATTTCCGTTCATAGACATATATGTGACTTCCAGTTCGTCCCTCTGGCAAGTGAGTGTGGAAGAAAACAGCAGTTCTCTCATAGTTGTTGGAAATTAGGAAAGCACTTATTTCCTAGAAGTAAATAAAATTTAAGTAAATAAAGACTACATTTTACTGAATACTGTTTCAAGAATTTTAGAATGGTCTACTCTGATTGCTTTTCTACAGTTTTTAAAATAAAATGAGGCAATTTCTTAAAAAATTAACCAATGGTAAGTAACATATATACCTTGATAGTTACACAATCAGGGCTGATTTATGTCTGGGGAAAATGAATTACAAAAAACAAGGGTTAAAAGGAACTATAAACAAGTTTATTCACTTGAATGCTAAAATTAAAACACTGAATTTTTCACTTTTTCATGTTCCCTTACCTCCTCCAAAACGCTGAAGATGAGCAAGTGAGTAGGCAATGTAGAATCATTGTGAAACTCCTTATATAGCCAGTTTAAGGGATTTAGATAAAAGGTATCTGCTTCATCAAGATACTGACTTTTTCCAGTCAGGTCTGGGGGGCATTCGAGGAACCTCATTGGAAGTGGGTTGTGGACATGGCTAGGAAAAAAAAGTTCCCATTATAATTATAAGATGTTCAAAAAGGTGAAAGTTTCCACATGTAGGATATGTCATGTTCATATAACAACATGTGATATCTGAATCTAAACTGCATTCCAATTGAGGTGAGGAGCAAACCTTTAACGTGCTTTTCTCAAAGCTGAAGAATGTTGATTCTCACACTGGTAACCTGTTGTAGCTGCAGAAGCATTATCTACAAGGCCAAACTAAGGCATGAACTGCATTTTAAACTGCGAGTCAGCAGCTTGGATGGGCCTTAGTATTCTGTAACATTAGTATGCTGTTCCAGGAATGTAAGGTGCCTTTGGGCCAGGTAAGTAACTTGTAAATAAAGAGTAGCTCCCCATAGGTTTCACTGACAAGTAGAAAACTGGCCATGAACCAGAAAGGAGTTTTGCTCTTTGCTCTGAAAGGGGATGGAACACAGTCACCTAGCAAGTTTTTCCTGTGTGTGTTGTTTTTATGTATTTATACACAGGTTAGTAATAGCAACATGCTCACTGATTAACAGTTAAATAAGAAATGGTTTTATTGTTGCATAGAATGACTATATTATATGTTATAAAAATATATCTTTGATGAATCTTGACAATTTAGGCAGTTACTTGGGCCATACAGAAGCCATTTTACAGCTTTGCCTTGGGAAAAATAAAACCTCATTTTAGAAATAAGTTTGTGATAGAGCATTATTTTATCTATGAAGTGCATACAAAGTAAATTTATGCAGTGTCTTAATACTGAATGACTTATTTTGACAATACAAGCTTTTCAAAAAAACACTTGAGAAAAATTGTCAGTTTTATATTACAAAGTAGGGATGTTTTTTTTTTCTCTATTGTGCAAAAAACAAAACAAAACATAAAACAAAAAACTAAGATGAGGAATTTGATGAACTATACAAAGCCTAAACCATCTACCACTACAATTATATATGGAAATTATCTTGGTAGCTCTAGAATCCTTGTTCCTCTACTGTTATCAGTAATGTGAACATCAAGAGAAGACTGTCATCAGCTTTCGTTTTCTTAAATGGAGAGAAGCCTCATATTGAAAGGACACCTGAGGTCTTAATATAGCCTGTGGCTTTTGCTAGGCAATCCCACTTATAAAACTTGGCTTTGAATGATCAGTATTATTGATTCAGTTATGTATCCCACAAGTGTTAAATCACTTTAAAAATCACCTTTGATATAAAGTTGACTGAATGTGCATACGGAAAATTTTCAGGTTTTTAAAGCCAGATTAAGTTAAGTAAATGTAGAATTTTTTATTTAAAAGATTTTTGCTTTGTCCTGTACAGTTTTTGGGCAATTAGTAACTATACAGTTTACAAGGCCAATGGATGTTTTTAAATGCTTGTCCATAGTTAAGGCAATTTTGTGTCTTACATTTGTGAGAAACACTTAATTCACTATTAGAATATCACCTAGTTGAATTTCCTTATTTTTATACGTGAGACAACTGATGACTAAAGAAACTAAAAAGAATGGTTTAGGACCAGGGGAACAGTCCAGTAGTAAATCTGGATTAAAATCCAATGATTCAAGATTAATTCAAAATTATAAAAATAAAAGGTGCTTTGCAAAGATATACAGTAAAGATCAGTGATAATGCTTTCTTCCCAAGTAGAATACCATTAACAAATACCTGTAAATAAATAAATACCTGTAACATTGTAACACAAATAATTTAAATGTTAGTTGTTGAATTAAAAAAATTATTAAGGCTTACTTAAAAGTAGCATATGGTTTTCATTGAAATAGTTCAAATGGCTTTAAAATTCATCAGTGAATAAATAAAGTGGCTTTTCAAGTTTTTTATACTCAATGATCATTTAATTTAAATCTAGGAATCTGAGTGGAATTTAAAAGTAGTTTTGTTTTCTCAGTAGTGTAGATAGTAGGTAACTTATTACCTATAATAAGGAGTAGAGTGGCAGGGCATCATTATAAATACTGAAGTCGAAGATTTATTGGAGTGGTTGTAATAGAGTTCTTGAATATAAGTCATAACATCAAGGGTACCTCGTTGATGAACTAAACCAGTGTAGAGGGCAAGGAGCATATTTGACAAAAACAGGAAACTTAGAGCTGGTTTCTTCCATGTTTTCAGGTGGTTTAGTGAATACCCTATATAAAGATAAAATTGTTGAAGCTTAACATTGGCAATTTTATCAAAAGCTAAGTGAATATTAACTATAAACATTTGTAATTTTTTTCATGGAAATAGCACAAGCTGTCAGACACAAACAGATAACAGGTTATTACTATAATTTCTGTGACCATTATCATCTGTTGTTCCTAGGTCTTGACCTTTTTCTAGAAAAAGGAATTGAGGTAGTAAAAAGATTGTTGCTAGGGAGGTAACCCAAGAAACTCCAAGTTGAAGTCTAGCTCTGCTCTGGTAGTTTTTTTTTTTTTTACATTGCTAAATAAGCATTAGTTCCCCTACCTGAAAATGGTATAACAGTACCTTTTCTAATATTAGGAAAAATGTATATCCAGTGCCTGGCTTGGTATATGCAGTTATTAAATAAATAGGCCTTTTATTCCATTGATGTTATTTTCTCTCTCAAAGCCACTGGTAATGGATATTTCAGTGTGTATAAACCTCAGTAATTTTGAATTGTGTTAAGAAAATACACAACTAAAAAAATACACCATTGGATTCCTGGGAGACTAACAGTCATTATGAACAATGGCAGGGATCTCTCTTTTTGGAAGGAGTTATTTCTTTGTTTTTTTTCTTTCACTATAGTGTTGGAAAATTCAGAGATACTGAACTATTTTATTTTTCAATTTGTAGAAGTAATTTTTGTGTGTGGCAAAACCCAAATACCCTGCCTTCATCCCCACCCCCAAATTGAACAGACAGTATATGTTTCATACTCCCTGTGCATTGCCTCCACAGAAGTAAGTAATAGTACTTTTGGAATATGAGTACCCAGGACCCAATCTATGGTCTAAGTGAAATTTCAGTGGGGCCAAGGCTGTTTTCCATGACCATCACCTAACTTCTATAGCTGCCTTAACTTGGTTCAACTAAAAGTAACTAAACATGAATAAAATGAGTATTGGGCTGTTGCAATTTAATTATTCTAACAGGAAGGTGTCCTAAGAATTGTTTCAAACAAAAATAGGAGTAATTTGACATTCAACTGAGTAACATCTGGTATTCATCACTAACTGAAGGCATTCAATTCTCAACTTAAAATTGTTAGCAAATTAAAAAATGGGTAATACCTTTTCTTGTATACCTAAATATTTATTAGCTATGGTGCATTTACAGGTTTCTTTTATCTGTATTAACTGCCTTGAAGATAATAAACTGGACTGAATATAATGCTTTCATCCATTCTATGACATTTAATACTAGTCATTTGAGAGTTAATTTGATTTTTAACCCACTTAAAAATCAAATTTGGGCAAAATAGTCTTAGATGTTCAATTCTGTTCTTCTGAATATTTTAGATCCCTACAGTTCATTCCATTCAGTAGCATCATACCTGAAATAACTGTCAATAAATATTCTGACTAGTGTAATAAAAATGCAATTCAAGAAAATGAAGACTAAATTTAAAACAAAAACATCTAAATTTATAATTTGTATATTGTGAAATGAGGACATTGTTAAAAAGGATGGAAACTATAATTAGCTTTATTGAAACTGTAAAATTCCAAAAATTCTTCCATTTGTAATTGTACTCACAGGCATAACAGGCATTAACAGATCACCAAATACAAGGTGAAAGTGAAGTACGTCACCTCTTTGACAAGCAAAAACTTTATGTACATTGTAGGCTCAAGTTACAAAAGCTACATGACAGCCTTTACTGGCCAGATGCTAGATAACATGCTCTCAGGAATCTAAGTCACTCTTGCCTGCCCAAAGCTAAATCACATCTAGAATATTTAATTTGCTTCTGTTATCTGGGCCTACAAAAAGATAGTTAACAGTAGCTGCATAGAAAACTTCTGGAAGAATTTCTAAGAATGATGATTATCTTTGGAATGGTGCTAGATGCCTAGAGGATGATACTTGTTAGCATGAGTTAACATGCCATTTTTTTAAACTGGGTTCTAAGCAAGTAATTTTTATCAGATACTGTCAAAATTTTAAGATTGTACTTCACTCCAATTCACTAGCATAAAATCTAAAACCTTGCTTGGCTTCTTGGCAGTATCTCCTAATCACTATGTATTATTTCTTTTTGATATACATGACTTTTAAAAAGTTTGGCTAATAAGTGGCAATCTTGGCTGTATTCTTCTGTGACTGATGAGTTCTTCTTCCTAAGGTAAGCTTAATGGTAAATGGAAAGGATGGGAATGTTGAGAGCTGTACATTATTGATGCCATCAAATGTAGAGATACCAACTGCATTCTGGTTTTGGCAACAATTATTTGAAAAAAAAAAACACTTAATTTTTTTTTTTGCCAAATTTTACCAGTCAGGTCTGAGTTAACCTCATTTTCAAATATTCCTTGGGAAAGGTAATAGGGTCCCTTAATAGCCACATTAGTTGAGAAAAGCAAAGGAAAAGTTTAATCCTGTGATGGAAGGTATAGGAGAATGGAGTTGGAGAAAGGAATTTTGAACTACTAAAAACCATAATGAGAATACTGAGCACAGACCAAGGGAGGTATAAGGAAGAATTTTATATTGCTACTTTGCTAAAAAAATTAAACTATTTTCACTTTTCATAGTGAGAATACATAATGCCATGAGAGCTTTAAGGATATTACAAGTATTTTATGTAGAGTTAGATATCAAAATAACCCCTTAACAGAGTGTAATTCCCTTTGAGAGGAGAAATGGGAGGAAGAATAGGGGAACCATGTTTGTTTTTACTACTTTAAAAGATGACTTGAAATAATACATAATCAGAGAAGTCTGCAATGGCCACTAGTAACATCAGATCACACAGACACCCAACCCAGAATTGATAGCACATACTGGAAACATCACAAATAACAGATTCAGTCTAAGCATTTCAGTATTTTATATCAATGGCACCTTTCTTTTACAGATAAGGATACTGGGACACCCAGTTTACTAAGGATCAGAGTCAATGGAAGAAGGTAGGTTTCCTAGATTTAAGTCCTACTTTGGATAGGAGTAAGGGAAATTCAGATTAACAAGAAGTTATTACACATTTAAAACAAGGTTACTATCATTTTTGTCTCTAATCCCTGACTGATGCTGGCCTGGCTTTTTGACTTGCTTTGACCAAAAGGAGGTGGGCCCCAATTTCTAAGCCTGGACCTCAAAAGTTTTTATACATTTTTGCTAAGCTTCTTGAAACCCTACTTAAATGAAGTACCCTAACTAGCTTGTTGGAGAGCAAGATCACACTTAAGAGCACGGTACTTTGAGCTACAGCCAACTGAACCCCAAACATGTAAGAGCCCCACCTAGGTCAGCGATGCCTACCCCATCTGCAGCTGATCATATTTACACAGTTAAGCCTAATAGAGAATGCCATTTTAAGTCACTATGTTTTAAGGTGACTTATTATGTAGCAATTGCCAATAGAGTTGTCATATAACTATGTAAAATCAAGTTAAAATTGGTCATACAAAACAGGAAGACAAGATGAGGTGCAATATAACCCAAGATTTCATGTAATTAGAAAAAAAAAAACTGGACCATTTAAAACATCAGAAATTGTTTTAACTACTGTCTGACATTCTTAAATTTCCAGAGACTTCTTTCTTCCTATGGGGGCTTACTACTCAACTGATTAGTTTTTTTTGTTGATATTTGCTGGCTTTAGAACTCTGACTTCTAGTGGCCTTATAAACTCTCCTGGGCATTGATCTTCTGACTAAAGAACCTATGGAGGTAAAGATCACATCCCAGGAGAATGGGTTTTTTGCTGTTTCAGTCCTTTGGGTCTCCTCCTGAGTGGACATACAGAACAAAGATTATTGCCCACAGAAACAGGGTCTGTTCAACCCTTGCCAGCATTTTATCTCAATCATTAGGACTGGGAATAATGATTCAAACACTGTCTTTCTCTAAAGACTAGATATACAAAACAGGCTGGAATGGTGGAAGCTGGGAAAACCCATATAAATAAAACCACACTTGAACTTACACAAACATACCACACACACTGAACAGCAGTGTGCACCTGGACAGGAGCCGTGCTTAATTACAGTTAAAATTAAAGTGGTTGTAAAATTGAAAACAAAAGTAATTTATGAACAGATGTGTTCTGCAGTAAATAGATCTATTCTTGCCAAATAGCTGTTAGATATCCATACTTTTTTTTTCTTTTTAGATGATTTTATTTATGCATATAAGAACTGGGTACAGGCCAGTATGTGTGTGGGGGTTGGGTGGTGGAGCGGTCACGCCGTGGGAGGGGCAGCCCATGCTCTCCCCACTCCCGGCGCCCACCCCTCGCCAGCTCTCAGAAGATTCACCTGACAGAGACCGGGAGTAGAACAAATAGATACATTGAAATACACTGCTGAAGGGAACAGGGTGAGACAGTGCAGGTCTGCTGCCCCATGTGGGTCAGTTCCCTGCCTGGGGATGGAACTCAGGCCACAGTTGCTAATAAAAGCTTGATAGTGCTGTGCCAGCTCAGATGCCCAGACTTAAATATATATGAGAGTTTTTATAAATTCATAAGTACTATATAACTAATAAGACTATAAAGTAATGATAAAAATTAGCTTTGGCTTCATTACTTAAGACATTAAATATATAGAGAAAGTACATATTACATAATAACGGATACTACTGCAAAGTTTGAAACCATTAACTACATATTTTTCCCAACCTCATTTCTCCCAGTCCTGTGATTTTTTTGTGGTTAATATTCAAAGGAAGCCAGTAATGACTTATTCTGGATTAAACTTTAATATTAAGTTTCAATATATAATTTTTCCAAAACAAACTATGTAAAAATCCATATTTTCTAGAACTGAATGATATAAGAATTTTTAGAAGTAATGTGTAAAAACCTTACTGTAAGGTTTGGAAGAAAAAAAGAAGTCAAAACAATATAATCATAAGTGTGAACTGCATTAAAAGCTGAATATGCACTAGAATGAGTCTTAAAGAGGTGGATGTGTATGAAGCACTAAAACTAGTTTTAACAGCTATAAATATATTTTTGAATAGTGAAAATGAAGAACTGTATAGACCGACTGTAAAATAGCCATTCTAGAGTGGATACATATATTCTTTAAAAGAAAGATTCCAAACAGCTAAAAACAAAACAAAACAAAAAAACCATGGAAAGATGCTTTGGATATTGGAAACTTAATTTTTAGCTCACATTACAGGATATAGGAAAAGGATTTACTTCAGTAAAATAATTTATAATTAAGCAATTTTCATTTGGCCTAATTGGAAGTCATATTTTAAAGCTGAATGACATTGTCTTAATTAACTTCTATGTAAATGTATGTATTGAATAAAAATACTTACCACAGAACACCATACAAAATGGTAAAACTGGATAGATGAATCTGAATTCTTTATGACTCAACATGCTATAATAAGGATATTAAGAGAATATTATTTCTTCACATTTCAATGGTACTTTGAGAAGTTAATGCATTTAAATTGTAAGTAAAAAAGTGTGACACCTGTTTTCCTAGTACTGAGACTCATTACTTTTTAGTTACAAGATTATCTGTTAAAAGTAATTCTAACTTTTGATGTAAATATGCAATTCTATAGAACAATTACGCTCTAAAAGAAAATTCTATTACTAATCCAAGTAAAATTAGTAAATTTGGGATAAAAATGCATTTCTCTGGTCCTTTGATACTTAAAATTTTGATAGTTTCTGTGGTATTTGTTTTTGGTAGTTTCTGTTCAATTTTTAAAAAGTTGAATCTCATTTGTTAAGCAAACTACACATATCAAAAGTCTTTTATTAAAGATTTTTTTTCTGCATATAAGAACTGGGGTACAGGCCAGAGGTGCAGGAGTGACAGGATTAACCAGAGACAGACTGAGGAGCAGAACAGGCAGAGCTACTGAACTACACTGCTGAGAAGGTGAGACAGGAGCAGACTGCTCTGCCATGTGGTTGCTTCCCTGGCAGGGGATCGAACTCAAGCTGCTGTGGCTATGTATAGCTTCATAGTGCTGAGACTTAACCACTTGTGCCACTAGAGAGGCCCTCAAAAATCTTCATTATAAATGAGCATCAGCATAATTACTACTTTACTAAATAAGCATCACTAACAAATCATAAGAGTTTATGTATGCATCTTTAAAAATAGTTTATTTTTTGAAAAATGTAGATAGCCCCTTCCTGGTGGCACAACCAGCTGGCCACAGCCGTTTCAGTGCCAGTTCCATCTCAGGCCCTGGAGGTGACTCACATGGTGTGGCATACCTCTCCTGACTAGCCCACTGCTCTCCTCAGCAGTGTACTTTGTCAATTTGCCTGTTCTGCTCCCCATTCTGTCGCTTGTAAAGCCTCTCACTGGCCCTATACCTCTGGCTTGTACCGCAGTTATGTATGAATAAATAAATCTTTTTAAAAGAAGTAGATAATCAACTTACAACTTAATTTCTAGGTAACATTAAAAAAAACTTTGAATAAATAAAAATCTTACCTATATACTAGCAGTGTCCACAGCACAGTCATCAAAAGTATCCGATATTTCTTTGGGGCTAGAAAGCATCCATGAATAAAGAAGGGTAAATGAGTACCCAACACAACTGGAAATCCTTGACTGAAGTACCAATGCCATGGATGAGAACCATAAAATGCTCCCAAGTTCTGCAGCACGTTAAATTTCAAAAAATTAAACTGAACCAAAGTCCACTGGTGTAATTGAAGGAAAAAGAAACAGAAATGTGTTAGTGTGTTAGTGTGAAGTATGAACCTTGGCATTAGGGTATATGGGAGAATCTTGACATTAAAATATCAGGACT